TGTGAATTGAGACTTCACTGGTGCAGGGTAACTTCTCCCCAGATCTACAGTTGTTATGAATAATCTCTAGTGGAGAGTAACGTCTCCTCAGGCCTACAGCTAGCAGGACCTATAAGCCTGCCTGACAGGTTTTTGAACTCGGGTTCAGACAGGACTCTTTGTGTACTTCGTGTTTCAGCATGATTGTGTCTTTCAGAGATTAAAATGAATAAAAACTACATATCTCAGGTGTCTGTGCATTTTCAGTCTGACTTCAGCAATTTCTAGTCAACTTTGAAATATCTCTGAAATAAACTACAACTCCATTCTACCCACAATCCTCCCGTTTCCTTTTTGGAAAGGGCACCCAGAAGAAGCCCACATGAACACAGGAGAACATGCAAACTTCACCCAGATAACACCCCAGGACCAGAACTGAAATCAAAGCACCAGCACCTGAAGACAGCAATAAAAACCATGTCTTGGTTTAAGATTTGATGTTTTCACACTCCTGCTTTCAAGCTGTTGTGCAGCAAAGCCGTCTCTGTCAGAATTATATTTCAAGTCTTAGTTCTGAAACTAATTGTCTCTCCTAGAAAATCAAACTGCAATTAAAATGCTGCCAAACCTGTTGAGTCAATTTAGTCAAACAGAAAACATACACTTGATGCATATCTATACACATCTGCATTTATAATATTGGGGAACTATGAAAAAAATAAAGGAGACAGTAATCTCTTGGTATAAGTTGAAAGACCAGTGTCCCAGTTAACCCAGAGCAATCCCAGACAGCCTGAGTGAGGAGACTCTGCAGTCACACTGGAGCACTGTCTCCCCTGCAGTCACACTGCCCTGTGGACACAACACACAACAACACAGTTTGGCAATTTCACCAGTAAAAAAAGTGAAAGATTCTACACACCTTGTACTGGGAGAACTGGACTCTACACACACCTTGTACTGGGAGAACTGGACTCTACACACACCTTGACAATTGTACTGAGGGAGCTACACACTACACATACTGTACTGACAGAACAGGACTCTACACACACCTTACTGATAGAGCTATAGATTAAACACACCTTGAACAGAGAGAGCAAACACACACTCAGTACTGGAAGAGCCAGACAAGCAAGTAATCAAACAAGTGTGGTGAGTCCACACTCAGCAGCACAAAGACACACTGCACTGATTGTGTGAAACTGGGGTCCTATATCTCACCTTCGTCTTCCTTGGGGTGGAAAACCAGCCCATCCTTCTGGTCTTTCCATTTCAAACTGGTTCTGTCCATCACAGTGTGCCTGGACAGCAGCCCCCTCATCTGGACAGAGAAGAGCACAGACTGCCTGAGAGCAGGGCTGGATCTGGACTGGAGCACCAGCCAGCAATACTGATCCATCACCCTGAGTGTGACTATTACAGTTTGTACACTGATCCAGTATATTCACACAGTCCTGATCATTATAGATATATAACTGTACATACTGTACACTGATCCAGTAATATTCACACAGCCCTGATCATTATATATATATAACTGTACATACTGTACACTGATCCAG